TGCACCACTACTGCCTGAGCAATAACAGCTGCCTGAGCAGGATCTGAAGTGCTAAGCCCAGGTGTGCCAACAGTCAGAGTTACCTGGGTGCAGAGCACAGAGTGGACTAATCACTATGTGTGACCAGATGGTGAGCTGCAGAGTTACCTGGGTGCAGAGCACAGAGTGGACTAATCACTATGTGTGACCAGATGGTGAGCTGCAATATCACTGGGACTGGTGAACTGCTGCTGCAGGGATTTACAATCTGCTGCTAGAGAGACCGAACCCTTTAGGAACTGACCATACAGCCATCTAGTACCCTTATTGCTGCCTGCAGACTTAACTGTGGCTATTGTGCACCAACGGTACAACTTAGCCCCAATGCTAGGCAGCAGAAGAGTTAGGACTGTCAGAAATTGGATCACCTGCTGGTGGCACTGTGGTTCCCAGACCTGTAGGTTGTAGTCCCAGTGTCCACCAGTGGGTATCTGTCAGTAGCCAGCTGTTCCTAGCAATTAGTCATCACCTGATTCTGGCTGCTGGGAGGGTATTTAGTCCCTATTCTGCTACTCATCACCTGTTGTGCTGTTCCTTCTCCCATATACTTGAACCTGCTCCTGTTTACCATCTCCCTGCCCTGACTTGTGACCTGCTCCTCCTGCCTGATCCTCCATGCATGACCCTGGCTCTGTTACTGACAACACCTTTTCAGTCTTACCCTGCATTCTGTATATATTGTATTATACTTAGTTTGGTAGTTAGGATTTCTATTACATAGTTAGGTTTCTAGTTAGGTATTTTGTCATTTGGTTATGGTTCACTGATATCTTCATGTTTCCTGTGTTTTCTGTTTGCTGGTGTTTGGATGTGTTTTGTTTCACTGTTAATAAATTTATTTAAATTACAGTATACTGTATATAGACTGGTTTCAGTTTCCTGAGTGCAGTTACTGTATGCAGAGATGGCCATTCATGCTGCTTCATGCCTGCAGTCGGTATCCCTGAAAATAACTAAAGATTAAAGATGGTCCCTTTACAGTTGCTAGACAGAGATCTTCACCTTTTGCTTCAGCTAAGAGAATTTTCTGAGGGGACATTCCACCGTATCCGAGTGCATTCTAGACTAAAGTATTACTATTATTATTTGCAATTCAGTTAATGCTTATATTCACTGTTTTTTTCTGACTTTACTTATTCATGAGTTAATTCCAGTCTAATGGTACAGGACTCTGTTCTAAGTTACCTTGGCATAGTGATTATACTGTCTAGTGGACTGGGTCTGAAGCTACTTTCTGTGTGGTCATTTATGCTTAGCCATCATTTATTCTAACCTGTACCATTTCCTGATACTAATTCACAACCAAGGTAAAGGTATATACACTTGTGTTCCTATAAGTGTTTGCAGCAGCTTTCACTCAACCAGGTGTATCAGGGGGGTTGAGGTTGTTCTTCAGAACAGAGAACCCAAATTACCAGGTGGCTCTTTCAGAGGTAGCACTACAGATGCCAATTGAAACAATATAGACAAATAAGACATTTTAATTTTGGTAAATGTACACATTATGTTAGAGCAGGGGTCCTCAAACTTTTTAAACAGGGGGCCGGTTCATGGACCTTTACACTGCTGGAGGGCCGGACTATAGTTTGATAAAAATATGAACAAATTCCTATGCACACCGCACATATCTTATTTGTAGTGCAAAAAGACAGGAAAAAACAATACAATATTTAAAATGCACTGTACACTGTAACACACTGGACACCGCAATGCACTGTACTCTATATCGCACTTGGCACCACAATGCACTGTACACTGTAATGCACTTGGCACCACCATGCACTGTACACTGTAATGTACTGGACGCCGCAATGCACAATACACTGTAATGCAGTGGACACCAACATGGACTGTAAACTGTAATGCACTGGACACCAAATGCACTGCACTCTGTAACGCACTGGACACCGCAATGCACTGTACACTGTAATGCACTGGACACCAGATGCACTGGACACCAAATGCACTGGACACAAAATGCACTGTACTCTGTAATGCACTGGACACCGCAATGCACTACATTGTAACACACTCAACACTGCAATGCACTGTACACTAATGCACTGAACACCAAATGCACTGTACACTAACGCACTGGACACCAAATGCACTGTACTCTGTAATGCACTGGACACCACAATGCACTGTACATTGTAATGCACTGGACACCGCAATACACTGTACTCTGTAAAGCACTGTACTCTGTAACGCACTGGACACCAAATGCACTGTACACTGTAATGCACTGGACACTGCAATGCACTGTACATTGTAACACACTGGACACCAAATGCACAGTACTCTGTAACGCACTGGACACTGCAATGCACTGTACACTTACCACTGGACACCAAATGTATTGTACTCTGTAATGCACTGTACACTGTAACACACTGGACACCGCAATGCACTGTCCTCTGTAATGCACTGGACACCGCAATGCACTGTCCTCTGTAAAGCACTGGACACCGCAATGCATTGTACACTGTAACACACTGGACACCAAATGCACTGTACACTAATGCACTGGACACCAAATGTACTGTACTCTGTAACGCACTGGACACCAAATGCACTGTACTCTGTAACACACTGGACACCAAATGCACTGTACTCTGTAACACACTGGACACCAAATGCACTGTATTCTGTAATGCACTGAACACCACAATGCACTGTACTCTGTAAGGCACTGGAAACCGCAATGCACTGTACTCTGTAAAGCACTGGACACCGCAATGCATTGTGCACTGTAACACACTGGACACCAAATGCACTGTACACTAAGGCACTGGACACCAAATGTACTGTACTCTGTAACGCACTGGACACCAAATGCACTGTACTCTGTAACACACTGGACACCAAATGCACTGTACTCTGTAACACACTGGACACCAAATGCACTGTACTCTGTAATGCACTGAACACCACAATGCACTGTACTCTGTAAGGCACTGGAAACCGCAATGCACTGTACTCCATAACACACTGGACACCAAATGCACTGTACTCTGTAACACACTGGACACCAAATGCAGTGTACTCTGTAACACACTGGTCGCCACAATGCACTGTACTCTCTAATGCACTGGACACCGCAATGCACTGTACTCTTTAACGCACTGAACACCCCAATGCACTGTACTCCGTAACACACTGGACACCAAATGCACTGTACTCTGTAATGCACTGGACACCAAATGCACTGTACTCTGTAACACACTGGACACCAAATGCACTGTACTCTGTAACACACTGGTCGCCACAATGCACTGTACTCTCTAATGCACTGGACACCGCAATGCACTGTACTCTTTAACGCACTGAACACCCCAATGCACTGTACTCCGTAACACACTGGACACCAAATGCACTGTACTCTGTAATGCACTGGACACCAAATGTACTGCTCTCTGTAATGAAATGGGTGCCACAATGCACTGTACTCTGTAATGCACTGGACACCGCAATGCACTGTACTCTTTAATGCACTGGACACTGCAATGGACTGTACACTAATGCACTGGACACCAAATGCACTGTAGTCTGTAACTCACTGGACACCGCAATGCACTGTACCTGGTGCCTGGTGTTCTCTCCTCCACTCCTGTTGCTCCTCTGGCTGCAGCAGGTGAAATCAGGGACTTCCAGACTGCCTCTGGCTGGGTCCTCGTGGCTGAGGACCCAGTGAGCAGTCTAGCTATTTTGCCAGTCCGTTTTTCCCCAGATTTCTTTTTATTTTTTGGCCCGGGGGGCTGGATAAATGGCTTTGGTGGGCTGTATACGTATAGTTTGAGGAACCCTGTGTTATAGGTATGGGCTGAGAAAACAAAATACCGTATTTTCCGGCGTATAAGACGACTTTTTTTAACCCATGAAAATCTTCTGAGAAGTCGGGGGTCATCTTATACGCCGGTATACGGCGAGCCGGTGTCAGGGCGGCACTTTTTCGAGGGGCAGCGCGGTGGCGGAAGGGACACTAAGTACAGGGGCAGGCAGGGGGCTGCTGTATCCTACCTGGCTCCGGTCCCGGTCCCACGACGATCCGGTCCAGGAAGCGCGGCTGCTCCTTCTTTCAGTTCGGTTCCGCTCGATGGTCGCGCGGTCCGCTCGGCTCCGCTCCTCACCGGTGATTGGGCGCCAGCACTGGAAAGGCGCACAGGTGACCAATCACCGGCGAGGAGGCAGAGCCGAGCGGCCCCGCGAAAATTGAGTGAGGGAGCGGCCAGTAAGTGTGCAGCAGCACCATGCTGTGACACTCTTGGCACTATTCCTCTCCCCCACTGACACTAACGATGGAGCACTGTTCCTACCCCACTGACACCAACGATGGGGCACTATTCCTCCTCCCCAATGACACCAATGATGGGGCACTATTCCTCCTCCCCAATGACACCAATGTTGGGGCACTATTCCTCCCCCACTCACACCAACGATGAGGCACTGTTCCTACCCCACTGACACCAATGATGAGGCCCTGTTCCTCCCCCACTGACACCAACGATGGGGCACTATTCCTCCTCCCCCCAATGACACCAATGATGGGGCACTATTCCTCCTCCCCAATGACACCAATGATGGGGCACTATTCCTTCCCCACTCACACCAACGATGAGGCACTATTCCTCCCCCCACTGACACCAATGATGAGGCACTATTCCTCCTCCACACTGACACCAACGATGAGGCACTGTTTCCTCCCCCACTGACACCAACCATGGGGCACTATTCCTCCTCCCCACTGACATCAACGATGGGGCACTATTCCCCCCCCCCCACTGACACCAATGATGGGGCACTATTCTCCCCACTGATACCAATGGTGGGGCACTTTTCCCGCCACTGATACCAACGATGGGGCACTTTTCCTTCCACTGATACCAATGATGGGGCGCTATTCCTCCCACTGACACCAATGATGGGGCGCAATTCCTGCCACTGATACCAATAATGGGGCGCTATTCCTCCCACTGACACCAATGATGGGGCGCTATTCCTCCCACTGACACCAATGATGGAGCACTATTCCTCCCACTGACACTAATGATGGGGACACTATTCCTCCCACTGACACGAATGATGGGGCATGATTCTTCCCACTGACACCAATGATGGGGCACTATTCCTCCCACTGACTAATGATGAGGCACTATTCCTCCCACTGACACTAATGATGGGACACTATTCCTCACACACTGACACTAATGATGGGGCACCATCATTGGTGTCAGTGGGAGGAATAGTGCCCCATCATTGGTATCAGTGGGAGGAATAGTGCCCCATCATTGGTGTCAGTGGATTAAATAGTGCCCCATCATTGGTGTCAGTGGGAGGAGTAGTGCCTCATCATTGGTATCAGTGGGAGGAATAGTGCCCCATCATTGGTGTCAGAGCGAGGAATCGTGCCCCATCATTGGTGTCAGTGGGAGGAATAGCACCCCATCATTGGAATACCATACTGAAATAGCATACCATATTGAAATCAAATCTGCTGTTTTTTCATTTTTATTTGGTGTGTGTCTTATACGGTGAGTATAGCTCAAACCCTATATTTTAACAGGAAAAGTAGGGGTTCGTCTTATACGTCCAGTCGTCTTATACGCCGGCAAATACGGTACTACAAACCAAAACCTAATCCTAAAATTAAAACATAAAGCGTAGTGCCAAACATCAGATAGTGAAACTGAAATGTGTCAATACAAATATATGTGATATCAGAAAACAATGGTGAAAAAAAAAATGTTTTTTCTATAATGTCCATCCACCAATATGAAGTGCTCTTGCTTGCAGCAAAACAGTTCAGTTCAAAATTGCCATCACCGTCTCCCAGTGAATTGAAGACTCACCAGAAATGATGGCTGTCACTACAACATCATAAATGCTCATTTGTTTAAACAAAGATTCCAAAGGCACATGTATCTTGACATGAGACTCTGTTGGTGGGTATCTTTCTGTCTAGCCGAGCTGTAGTAAAATAAAGCTTGCCAGGAGCAAATAGACTTCCAATAGTGTAGTATTTATTAACCTCCCTAGCGGTCTGATTATGTCCATATTTCTGTGCTCAAAGCGGTAAATTTTTTTGCATGGAAATATGTATGCATGGAAAGAGTCTAGTAAACACCCCGGGTATGTTAAAATTTGAAACACGAAATCATAAATTATAATTTAATAAATAATCATAAAATTAATAATGTAATAATAATAAATTCAATTCAATAATATAATCAAACCAAAAACACAGAATTTTGAAATAGAGCGCCAAGTTCGCACATCACTGAGCAAAGTCGCAGAATCGTTTTCAGTGTCTGATGACAAATTTCCCCACAAATCATTATCACTCAATTCTGCAAGTGGTTCTGATTTACTATCGCTGTTCTCTAGCCGGTCTAAAACCGCTTTTGACCTAAAGGGATGCTTTTTGGACGCCATGGACGTTTCTCAGTTTCCAGGCAGAAAGAACAGTAAAAATGCAGGCAGGACACAGGACAAAGCACTCGGGACAAAATGTATGTGAAAATGGTTTGATACAGTAATGTTATGTTATGTGATTTTAGTGAATTTAGTGAATGTCACTTTTTGTCATTTTCAAATTTCCCGCTGGTTCCATCCCCGTACGTCCCGACGTTGGGGGGACGGAACCCGGAAGACAGATGCCGGCATCCGCCGGAGGACATTACAGGGGACAATGCAGGAGGGACATCGTGGGAGAGCAGGACAAGGTAAGTGCAGAAGGATCCCGGAGCAACGCTGCAGTGTATTCCCGAGTGTAGCTCGGGGTTTGCCGCTTGTGGTACTAAAACTTTACCCCGAGCTACACTCGGGAATACCTCCAGGGAGGTTAAAAACCAATAGAGTAAAAAACAAATAAAACAAAGAGATGTCAACTTACATAAACAGCCACTGCTGACCTGGAATTGCACAGCGGCAGAGTTTACAGTGCTTACATCACGCTGCTGTGCGACTCCGGGTCGGCAGCCACTTATTTAACAAAGATATAAAACATCTACAAATCATGTGTACGTCGTGTGATACTAAGACTATATTTGTTATGTTGACATCTATGTCATTTTAAGATAAATAACTCAAGAAAAATATAAAAAGAGAGAAAATAAAACTACTACACTGAAATTGTGGCAAATACAAGCAAAAAACAGTAAAGGGAACCATAATGTAGTATCTCATCATCGGCAAGTAGAACTGTCATACATAAAATACTGTATTACAAAGCTATTCACAGGCCCACAGTCATCTGCACTATGTATACAGCTTTATGCAGTATATGTGTTAAGTAAGCTGTGAAAAATACAGTGGTGTGCAAACCTATCAATGTTCTTCTACAGAGTACCTGTATTGGCGTACCCTAACTGGTGAATTATGTGCTTAGGAAATACATATTTACAAAAATTGATACAGTTACAGGCTAAGTAAATGTAACACAACTCCAAAATGTTCACCCTAGTCCTACTTCAATGCTTTGAACCTTATTAGTACTTCAAGCAAATAGTGGTAGTAAACCAATCCCTATTTTTTTTTAAGACTAAATAAGAACTGCAAGCAAGGTATAACATTTAGCAATAAATATGAAGTATAGGGACTGGCTTGAAGTGTAGAGCTCTAAGATGTAGTCCAGATGCTAAAATTAGTTTAAGAAAAAGAGAGGAAAGCGCCTCTAAGTGCAGTATTGACAATTTATTTAGTAATCAATGGATAAATTGCACTTACAAGATAAACAGTTAAAAAGACACATTGTGTGGTAATTAGATCCAGGTGGGACATCCAGCTTTCCAGCAGCAAACTATGTCTATAGGATCAGGAAGTAGAGTCCAGGATGTGCCTGTGCATCAAAAATGAAGCTTGGAGAGCAGAGTCAGATGTAGGAGGTGAAGGGGCGGTAATGCATTTCGGAGCATGCTCAATAGGCTCCTTCTTCAGACCTGGGTTGAGAATATAGTACATGGTAACATACGGCACAGCCCTTCTACCGACAAAATATGCTTTTATTATGGTGCCATAAGTGAGAGACTAACAGAGATGTGCAAACCTCTAGAGGGGATACTCTCAAAATAAAAGTGGATAAAAGCATCTCACCACATCAATGTTTTGCAGATGGCCGCCTAATGGTGATTAGCCTCACAAACACTGTCCTAGCCCTCTCTGCCTGACTGCAAGCCAGGTAACAGTCAGACCCAAGATTCTTCTCCCCCAGAGCCTCTGACAAGCAGCAAAGGATGTGGGGGAACAATACAGAACCTCTCTGGCAAGTAAGTCTTCTCCTCCAATAGCCCACTTGTGGCTCTCCTCCATGTATTCCCTTGGTTTCTCCCCTGTCTTCTCCCTTTGGTTTTCATGGAGGTGGGATTTCAGTTCTAGGCTGCACTTTCTCCAGCATCTCTCCCCTCAGGCTAGGTGGGCAGGGTTTTCTAGGCCACAAATGCGGCCAATAAAATTCTCCTTTCCATCTCCTATTTCCCAGCTGCCTGTTAACCACTTAACATGTGAGAAAATGTGCTACTCCCACTTTTTGAATGGGGTGCCAGCTGAGCTAATCACCAACTACAAATAGTGGGAGGGGGATCTGCATTTTTCTGATGAGAATCTGCCCACTGCTCAATCTTGAAAGAGAAATCTTGGAAAGCCAGGAACCGGCAGGTGGTTCTCAAGTCTCTTTCTTTGGCATGGGCCATTAATTGCAGAGAAGCATGATTGGTCATTAGTTTAAAGTAGATAGTAATGACATGTAAGTAGATACAGTAGTATCGCAAAGCCTCCAGTTCCTTACCTAAAAGCCGAGCACTCTATTAGCTTTTGACTGCACTTATTCTTTTTGTCCCCCTTCACTGACCTAACAGAGTTCACCTTCCCTCTACAGTGATGTATACGTATTGTGATCTAATGCCCACATGTTCGGACTGCATCTGTGCAGTGGACACCTAAAGATTTCTGGTACCAAAAGTGCTTTACTTAAAGGATTGACAAGACAGGATTTTGAGAGATACATGACATACAATTGTCAAGGAAAAAGTATCCAGTTGCATAACATCAATATTGCCCCTTGAAAGGGTCTATTTAACAGATAATACTAATAGTTTTTTTAAAACTATATTAGAACATGGTGGTCAAATGACCGGAGTTTAAGATAAGTCAGATAGCTTTCAACAGGTTCTTATAGAACGGTCATATAACTTGATCACAGAGTTAAAAGTCTTAATATACGATTGAATACTCCACTTAAAAAGAAAAAGAAAAATCCCTGTATTTTAAGATAAGAGAATTTGAAAAATTAAGAAAAATTAATTAATGGAAGAACACGCTTCCTAGTGACTAAAAGCACCAGCCACGAGGGCCTTAGCAGGGGACATCCATACACTAAAAAATAAGTGGAATTAACAGCTGTTTCTGAATTGGGCAGCACGTCTGAACTAATACTGACATGCACCATGGTCTGAGTGAGACAAATAATAAGGGATTTAAATGGCCTCATGAGCACTTGGTTCACTGTTTGGCTCTAATGGATCAGACCCTGTTAAATATATTGCCTTGATGTACTATATGTTTGATTTTCGCTGATCAATCCTGAGCTGCCGCCGAGGTCCCCACCAACACCCTGAAGGGACCCTGGACACTCCGTACCTCCGGCGGAGCTCTGGCAGGTCGAAGCGGCTTGAGTCCTACCACGGCACCCGAAGCCGCAGTGTTTCCTGCCGGCCGTGGCCGGAATCATGGCAAGGATCGCGGCCACGGCGGGACGCCTCCACTCCTCCGGGGAAGCTGACACCATCCCTATCGGTCCAACTGACACCCAGGAGGGGTTCGCTGCCATCCTGACGTTCCGGGACACCAGATACTCTATCAGGGGCACCCACTACCCACCAGGGAGCCCAGCCACCATCACACCGCTAGCCACCAGGGACACAAACAGGGACACCCACTACCTACCAGGGACTGCAAACCACCAGGGACCTTAAGCTACTATCCCACCAGGGATCGCAAGCCCACTATCCCACCAGGGGTCGCTAACCCACCACCCCACCTGGGATCGCACGCCCACCACCCCACCAGTGACCGTAAGCCCGCCACCCCCGCCCTGTCCCTCCGGCAGAGATCCGACAACTCGTGGACTACCACGACCCCTGAAGCCGCGGCCTTTCCTACCGACCGCAGCAGACCACAAAGGAACGCAGAGGGCCAAGGATCATCACCGAGACGCCCCGCTCCGGGCTCCGCAGATACAAGGAAGCAGCAACCACCCCCACTGGCACGGAGCAGGTAAGCCACCGCTGCCACATCTGCTCCCCTCCATGCTCCACTCAGCCGTACCCCTGCCACCGCACAGGCCTGAGCCCCGATCCAACCGGCGGAGACGCCCATCAACGCCTAGCCCATTCCACCTTCGGACATCGGCCCACACCACCTCCAGACATCAGCCTACACCACCTCCTGCCGCCGGGCCTCTAGCACCTCCTGACGCCGGGCCTCTAGCACCTTCTGACGCCGGGCCCTCA